TCCTACGAAATCCTAAACCAATACACCCCCCTTATTTTAACTTTTAAATCTTTTAATCTATTTCAAGACATGTTTCTTGTCTTTTTTTATTTTATTCTTTTTTTAAAATCTCATGTATCCTTTATAAGATGCAATATTGTTCTACCCGGAAAAAACTACAATGAACAACAAAACATTTTCTTCGAACATTTTGTGCAATATATACCCAAGACGGCAAAGCTCAACCTCATTTAGAATATATGTTAGTAAATAAATTTTCAAATGAATTTTTAAATTAATTCAAAATTTCGAAAAGGATAAAAGTATTTATATTTAATAAACAAGCTCAAATATATCTAAAATCACGGGTTTCTGATAAAAACAAAAGAGGTTATAACCTATATCAATAGTGTTTTTTGTTTGTTTGGGTGATTTGGCCTGTATCAATCTGTAAAGCTAAATATGGGAATGCAGTTTAATACAATCAATATCAACATAATTATTTTTGAAATGGACGAAAATGATTTGGTGTAAAAACGTTTGTAATTATATGCAATTAAAGTCCATCAAACCACAATAAATCTCAAAGCCGCATTTTAAGTTGAAAAAAACATTTATCATAACAAGTTCGAGAGGTGTGGGTGTGATTAAAATTCCAAGCATGCATAAATTATTAATCGGACATTATTTCTCATTATAGAGTATAAAAAAATGTTTTCATATTATTTTTTTAAAAAATGGTATAAGAATAATTTTTGTTTGTCATAACAGAATAAAATTATTTTTCATATATTAATAATAAATATTTTTCAGTATAAAGAATAAAAAAATTAAAAATAAATATATCATGATACTTAACTATAAATAAATTGTTATAAAAAATAAATAATAATAAATTATATTTCATATTATTTTCAAATTTTTTAATAAATTACTTTAAATATACTTAATTAAAAATGGAAGATTATCTTAGTAGAAAAATTCACATTTAACATAATTATATTAACTGTTTAGTTTAATTAGTTTAGTCTTAGAATGGTGCAATTTGTTAAGCTCGTAAAATTTTAGAACTAATGTAGGTTTAATAAGCCAAAATAAATATTTTTTTTATTAATAAAATGATATATAAGAATTGACATTCTTATGAGTACTAGATAATGGGTCAATAACATGTGTGAGAATCCTTAAATCAAATATTACTATCTATTTAGCGATTAGCTAAAACTCAACAATTGTCAGATTGACTCAAGACTTTACTTGCCAAACTAAAGATTAATAAAGACCCACTAAATGAATCTCACCTCTGATGTTAAAGAATCTCATTGAGTAGATGTATCCACTAAAATAAAATTTTATGGTGACAAAAAATGTTGAACTCACATTATGGAAAATGTGAGCTCGGATTGGACCTTGTACCTACCAATCCATGATGGAAGCCAAAATAAATATAGAACCATTAGAAAATTATGAAAATTTTAATTAGTCATTACATAAGGAATGACGATTGTAACATCAATGATGATATTGACAATGAGAATGGTAGTAACACAGACGAAAATGATAGATATAATGGTGACAACGATTACATTGTCAATGATGACAATGATAATAATAGAGACAATCACGATTGTGCAGTACATAATAGTTTTATTTTTAATTTTTAACATAAAATTTTTATTTTAATCCGCAAGTTGTTATTAACATAAGCTTTTTAATTTATTTATTTTTTTACTTAATTTTTTAACATAAGCTTTTTTATTTCCTTTCCCATCGTGAATTTGTTTAAAATTAAAAAGCAATTCTAAGGAAAATGTTTTTTAAAATGATTTTTGAATAAGCAAATAAAATTTGTTTAAGAAAAACAGAAAATTGCCTTTTCCCCTTAAAAAATAATTTACACAAACACATTAAAAAATTAAAAAAAAAAAACTTATTTTTTATTAAAAATACAAATAATTTTAATAAAAATAAACTACCAGGCCAAAATGATAGTCCTGTTTGGTTAAAGAATACCACACACTATCCTTCTTTCTGGTACATGGTTGATTGCGTAGATATTCCACAACAATTTCCAAATAACAATTATGAATTCAAGTATTTATTAAAATTTATAAATCTTGATAATTTAATAGGATGTAAATAATTAAAGATTTTCCACTATTTATTTATAATTCAATTAAATAATTGAAATATACAACTTTTAGTAAAGATTAAAAAAGTTTGTTCACCATACGATTACTATGTAAATAAAATTCATCCAATTTACTTTTATTATTTAACCCTAATAACTCTATTAAAAAAAACACTCTAGTATGGGAAATATTGAGGCTTAAATCTTAATGAATAATGAAGGTTAAAAGAAGAAAGAGAGAAAAAAAATGATAAATATAATAAATGATGTAAAACAAATAAAAGAAAATACCAAGATAGGAATGAAACGAAAAAGAATGTGGTTAAATGAATATAATTACGTACCTAAATTAGGTCGTTTGCTTAACATATTTAACACACGACAGGAGGGTATCATATGAATCAATCTCGGAGTTGATTTTGTTGAATATTAAAAAGGTAAGTAAGTGCATTATTATTTGTATTCAGGTACCAATTAACAATTAATTAAAGACAAAGACTAAATTGTGTTGTGTTGGAAGAAAAAGCTAACGACAGAGAACAGAACATTGCCATTGGCCGCAGACACAGAGAAAGAGACTTTCACTGAATTACTTAAAGAATAAAGATCTGTGTTTTGTATTTTTTGTTCAATCCTTTCACTATTTTTCGGTAGTCACTGTCATTGTTCATTGTCCATTTCTATTGGTTTTGTTACTCTCACTCTCCAGCCTTTTCTCGGGTTTCTCTTTTTTTAAATTCCTCTCGGCATAGTTTGTCTGTTGCACCTGAAAACAAGGTTTCTTTTGTCAAGTTTGGAGCTTTTTGCTCTGTGATTTGTGTTTTCTCCAAACAATGCTTGATTTCTCATCTGGGTATTTAGTTCTGGTTTAAGATGGTGGAGGGTGACCGTTTTCCGGTGGGTATGCGTGTACTTGCCGTTGACGACGACCAAACGTGTCTCAAAGTGTTGGAGAACCTGCTTCGCAAATGCCAGTATAATGGTTCGCCACCTTTCTATTTTAATTCACTCAATTCGATTCTACATTGGTTTTGCTTCTTTCATCAATTGTTGCATGTTTTCTTTTTCATGTTATTCTCTTCCCATGTGAAGTTTTACATTCATGGATACTGTGTGGTTGACAATTTCATGTGTTATTCTTAATTTCTTTCTTTGCTAGACCGGCATGTTTTTTCTTTATTCTCCTTTGTGGTTGACAATTTCTTTTTTAAGAAAATAAATTGGGTTTCTTGTTGCTACATTACTTTTATAAATATGAATTCTGCCTTAATCTGATTATGCCTTTGAGAATTGACACTCCTTTGTTCTATCTTATCTCACATCTAATTTATGTTTGTTTGTTGCAGTTACTACAACTACTCAATCAATTAAGGCTCTGGAAATGTTGAGGAAAAACAGAAACAAGTTTGATCTTGTTATTAGTGATGTAAATATGCCAGACATGGATGGGTTTAAGCTGCTTGAGTTAGTGGGACTTGAAATGGACCTACCTGTTATTAGTAAGAAGAAAATTTTCCAAATTCCAAATTTCATTT